ATCAAAGGTAAGGACCTTTTCTATCTGCAAAACAATGCGCTTAACACAATAAAAAGTAGCAAAATTTACTAAGTTTAAGACGCGCTGTTCAGTAATTTTTTTGTATTTTATGACTTTTGTAGCCGTGCTGCCGCCCTCCGTATAAAGAAATTGGTGGCACATAGTGTAAATGGGCAGTAAGCCTTGGTTGGTGGCTCTGGCCATTTTGGCTGCCGAATTGTACACTTGCGCAAATGTAATAATTTTATTACGAGGTTCCAATATGGCATAAATATAGAACCCACCGAAATTGTGCAAAAAACCGTGTTTAAATTTTGTTAGTTTTGAATAATACGGCCGAACATTGGCAAAGATTCCAGAAGTTGCCAAATAATTTGCATCTACTTTTGCCAATATTGCCACATTGTCGGGCGGGTCTAATTCATCCGCACGGTGAAACTGTACAATGTCAACATGCGGATGAGCATTATCGACCATCTGTTCGTAAAGTCGAGCGGCCTTGGGTTTGGCCAACTTGAGGCCGTGCACAGATCGAACAAAGCGAATATATGATATTCCGCAGCGAGCCGATAACTGTGGGAACGACCGCAAATGTTGCGTCAGAGACGTGGCAAATGCGGGCCAATCGACGGCAAATATTTTATATTTCCCCGGAGTATCGGCTATTGCGAATCGGACGCCCAACTTTGCGCTTTTCGACAACGGCGGCAGATCATTGGCAGCCGCGAGAATGTATTCTTGAACAAATGCTTTGCGTATTCGCACCAATTTGGTTGCGTCAACGTCGTCGTGATCCTCACGCGTTAAAAATTGCGACAGCGGATCGTATTAAAATACCACAAACAAGGGCATGTCGTCCAAATAACCAAGTTCAAATTCGAACCACGGTCTATTGGCTTGTACACTTTCGCTTTCGACGACAATGATGTTAGATCTGTTTTCGGATGCGCTGGGAAAAATATCGTCTCTTTTATTCAGATATTCTATCAATTTTTTAGTTTCGCACCGAGAAATAGACCCTGCACCGGTGTTAAATTTAAATAATGTGTCGCACAGAAACGGCTCTAAGCTGGTGCACGACATGACCAATGAATCGATATCACCAACTATATTAATGTCGCCGTCAATTGTGTCCAGCTGGATAACGTCGTCGCGTATGAGCGGTCTGTAGCTAAGATTATCGGCTATTTTCAGTTTTTTTTTTTTCACTAAAAATTAATAGAAGCTAAACCGATTCGTAATACACACAAGCGATAGTGCTCGAAGAGACAAAAAAAACGAGACAAGAACGAAGTCGATACGTTGAACCGTTCAAAAGTAACGGTTTGGTCACGCCGGTAGCGCAAGCGGGTTCAGAGTGATAAGCGGTCTCAAAACTCTCGCAATATAAAAACAAACTTTTAACAAAAATTGTAGATCTCAACGAGACAAAACGCAAACGTCCTATAGTCCGACTCTCTATCTCAAATATTTTAGAAGTTATAAATTTTTGAAAAATAAAAAATGGAAAAAAATAAAAAGTCGGAATTTGGCAAAATGGTTCAGACAAAAGTTGTAGATCTCAACAAGATCTATTGAAAAAGGTCTTATAACCTAAACCTCTATCTTGAATATTTAGAAAGTTATGAATTTTTACAAATTTGAACCAAAAATGTAGGAATTTTAAAAAAAGCTTCAGACAAAAGTTGTAGCTCTCGACGAGACAAGACAAAAACGTCCTATGGTCCGACTCTTAATCTCCAATAGTTTAGGAGGTATAAATTTTTAAAAAATAAAAAATGGAAAAAATGTAAAAAGTCGGGATTTGGCAAAATGGTTTAGACAAGAGTTGTAGATCTCGACAAGATCTATCGAAAAGGTCTTATAAACCAAATCCTCTATTTTAAATAGTTAAAAAGGTATAAATTTTTAAAAATTTGAACTAAAAATGTAGAAATTTGGAAAAAAGCTTCAGACAAAAGTTGTAGATTTTGACTAGACAAGACGAAAAAGTTGAATATCCCGACTCTTAATCTTTGATAGTTTGGGAGTTATGAATTTTTGAAAATTTTGGAAATTTTTTTTATACTCCCAATCAAAGTAGTTTTTGATGAAACGCACGCATGCAAAAGGATTTTGCAAAATTCCGACTTTTAATTTTTCCCATTCAAAAAACTTAGAATTTTTGCAATTCTGGTAACCAAAAATGACGGGATGTAGCAAAATGGTTTAGACAAAAGTTTTATATATGGAGAAGATAAGATTTTTAATCTAGGGTTTTTTGGATAAGTTCCTAAGATCTAGGGAAACGTGGAAATTGCTTGAAACGGCAAATGTGCAATACATCCCATCTAGGGTTTTCTGGATAAGTTTCTAGGATTTAGGGATTCATGGGTAGAAATGTTGCCGGGTTCAGGGGCCGAAAGCCCCTGGATCCTCAAAAGGAAATGTAGCCGGGTTCAGGGGCCGAAGGCCCCTGGATCCTTAGACGCGAACCCAGAAACTGTGCGCACGCGGACGCGGAGCCGGGGTGCAAGGGGCGAAGCCCCCGCTAAGGGTTTGAGGGCAAAACCCCCAAGAAAACAGGGCGTGCAAAGGGCAAAGCCCCCGCTCAGGGGGGGGCGAGAGGGGGGAGGAGGGGCGAAGCCCTCTCTCCCATAAAGCTACATTACAATTGAGAAAAAAAGTGTCCACCAGAAAAAGATGATCGTCGGAAATGACGACCTGCGCGATCACAAGAAGTCAAAAGAAAAACCGGAGATAATCAAAATTGTGGACAATTCGCTGGAAGAGAGCATGGAAGAGAGCTCGATAATACGTGAGAACTGAAGAGGCATCGCGACAAGTTTTTCTCACGAAAGCAAAATCTGTAGCGACTTGAGCCATAAAGAGAGCGCAAAAGAATTTGAGTCGTTAGACTCGAGGATTACTCAGAGTCATCAGAAGCTGAGGTGAATGGTTTGGCTTTGAGTCCAAAAAAGACATGGAGGACAAGAAGTCTCTGTACCATACACTCTAACCAAAAGCGTTCAATCAATCAGGTCATCATCAGGTCAGGATTTAACCTGGTGGTAGAAAACAAGCGTCGCTCGAAGTCGACGCCTATTCTTTCAACACAACTTAAATGAAGGGGCAATGTCGTCAATCAGATGAGTCAGCTAGCAAGCTGAGTTATGTGGAAAACAAAAAAAGGAAAGATTGCGCGCGGCTGGATTCCGCCCAAGTCATGTCGAGCGATTCGAACATTGAAGTAAAAGATGAATCAATGATGCAAATGGATTACGAATACATTCTGAGAGAGGTGTGCAAAAAAAAATACACAGTACTCCATGCGATTAACTTTATACGTGAAAGGGCCGCTCAACAGAATCAAAGGTAAATCGCACACAGCAAGAAGAAAATGAAAGATGAACATATCGTCGCAACGCTTGGGCCAATTCCTCTTGCAAAATCTAATATTTTCAAAGACATGTCGTTTATACTTGGATGCGCATCCGTAGAATCATTAGATTCATCGACACAAGTTCAGGCATACAGCACAGAAACAGAGATAAATGAATCGGAAATCGAAACTGAGTATGTGAAAGTGAATGGATGGATCGACCATTCACGCGCGACAGATTATCGGGGGATGTGCAACTTATTTGCACTGTCCACGGCCCATAACGGACATTTTGGATTGGACACTATCACTCTACGTTGCTTATCCCTCCCGTTGATTTCAATCGCTTTCGATTCATCCGCAATTAAAAACTATCACTCTTGCATCATCACACAAGTGTGTTGGTTGGTTAGTTGGTTGATTGGTTAGTTGGCACATTAGTAATCACTTTCATATTTTATGTACTCATTTTTCGGAATTTGATCCAAGTCTTGATCAAGATTTTACCACCACCCGCTAAAATTTGTTCACGCAATCTGTTGCGCGCGCGCGCGCAAATAGTCGATACATCCAGTCACAGTGACATACTCAGTTTTGACTTGCAATTCATTTGTTTCTGTTTCTGTGCTATATGCCTGAACTTATGTTGATGAATCTAATGATTCTACAGATGCGCATCCAAGTATAAACAACATGTCTTTGAAAATATTAGATTTTGCAAGAGGAATTGGACCAAGCGTTGCGACGATATGTTCATCTTTCATTTTTTTCTTCCTGCGTGCGGTTTACCTTTGATTCTGTTGAGCGGCCCTTTCACGTATAAAGTTGATCGCATGGAGTACTGTGTATTTCTTTTTGCACACCTCTCTCAGAATGTATTCGTAATCCATTTGCATCATTGATTCATCTTTTACTTCAATGTTCGAATCGCTCGACATGACTCGAGCGGAATCCAGCCACGGAATGTTTCCTTTTTTTAGTTTTTTGCACATAAGGTTTCGCTTGGATGGATCGACGCGCAACAGATTGCGTGAACAAATTGTAGCGGGTGGTGGTAAAACTTAAAAACTGATTACTAATAATTAAACCGGAGCCCCGTTAGCCGTCGACAAAGAGACGATGATAATGTCGACGTTGCCCGACTCTCACCGGCGAGGAGGTGGGGTCGGCATATGAACGCACGCGTACGTTCTTTAGAGAGTCGTTTTTTTGTTTTATTTTTTAGTTTTATAAAAATTTAGGAAAAAACCGAAATAAAAAAAACGTTAATAACTCGCAAACGAAAAGTGTTGGAGATCTGAGACCGAGTGCGCTAGACGCGTGCCGTTGACCGCTTTCGAACGCACCTGAGCTCGTTTCTTAATCTCTTCTAATTTTCGAAATATTTAGAAAAAACCAAAATTAAGAAAAACGTTCTAACCTCACCAAAAATGAAAAAAAAAATAAAGAGTAAAAAAATAAAAAAAAAACTTTTTAAATATTCAAAATTTTTTGGTGTCGACAGAGTCGGAGGACACCCCCGAACTAGCGCAACAAATTTGGCTGATATCGCTCAAATACTTTCCGAGATACAACTTGTCACAGTTTCGCTCGCGAGGAGGTGTTGCCGCTAGGAGAGACACAAACCGAATGACAAAACTCACGGTAGCTCCGTTAATGTTAATTTCTCGAACAAATGTTTCGTACAAAAGTTGTAGATCTCGACGAGATTTATAAGAAGCCAGAGTTTTGCTCCTTTACCGGTGTAAGAATTATAAATTTTTTTGGCAGCAGCCACGGGGCACTGCACCCACACTCCTCGCATGCCGGAAGGCAGAGTCCGGGCTTCGCCCATACGGATCTCTGCCTCCCGGCAATTTCCGGCCGAAGCCAGCGCCGCCTTCACCTCCTCCGGGGATACGGAGTCGTCGAAGCCCGAGACGCGCAAGTCTCCCTTGCGCGCCGGGCGGCGGACGACGATCCCCGTATCCCGGAGGACCTCCTTCATCCTTGCCGAGAGGGCATCTGCCTTCTTGGCCATAGAGTCACCGGTGACCTCAATCATGAGGTCGCCGGTCATAGTTCGCCGAGGCTGCACGTGGGCGATACCCACTGACGACAGTGGTATCGTCTCACGGCATCGGCGCATCCCCTCCGAGATGTCCAGTGCTCCGGGATGAGCTGGATCAGTCGACAGCGTGATTGCTGCCGACTTAGGCACCCGGAGCCTGACCCTCTTTTTCTTTCTTCCGCCTCCAGCGGGTTGCGCGGTTGCGCTGGCCCTTGGGGCGGATGCCGGTACTTTACCGGCGCGACTGGGGGCGGCAGAGGCCGCTGACCCAGCCGCCCGTCGAGCCTTACGGCCCACCCTGTGCTCCAGGGTGCCTCGCCTCCAGCAATGGAGGACGAGGGTCCTGGAGCTTTCTTCTCCGTCTGGAATGGGGCCGGGTGTTGAGCCCTAGGCTTGGCCTTGGCAGCGGCCTTGGCTTTCGGCTCACCCCGTACTTTTTCCCGCGATGATGGCCGATCGCGGCCACCTCCCCGGCTAGTCAAACCCGCGCGTCCTGCACCCTGAGCGGGTAAGTTCAGGGCCGCGAGCTTGGCGTCTATTAGCGCCGAGATGCGCTTAAGCAGCGCATCCTCGGCCAGACGATCCTGTGCCGGGGGGGGGGAGGAGGAGGTGGTGGCGGCATGCGAATTTTCGCCGTCAACGCCACCACCTCGTCTTGCAACCTTTTTGTCTCGAGCTCCTCGTTTTCTTTATAAACCTGAGGCAGGACACGAGCTGTCCGTGCCCCAGGTTCATCTCGCAGACGCTCGTACAAAGCGTTTGCAACTGTACGACCGTCTCGTCCCGCGTCCCTGAGGGCTTTCACGTCGGTACCCTTCAACCGCTTTGCGCGACCCGCCACCTCGTCGCACACGCCGACGGCCTTGTAGATTAAATCTGCAAGGTCCAACGTGGCGCGGGTCTCGCACTCCCTTTCAACGTCCGTCCCTCCGAATCGTTGGACGGTACGCCGGAGCCGCTTCACCGACTCGGTGTCGGAGGACCGCCCCGAGACATCCGAGTCGGAGCGGCGTTTCGTTGCCGCCGCGTACGCCTGTTGCCGCACCAGGTCTAAGGCGCGTTCCTTCTCTTCCATTTTTCCTTTCTGGAGCTGCTCCCTAGCTTTGCCCAGACCAACGTACCTGCCGTGGGTTGGTGGGCGCCCACGGCGTTTGGGCTGAGCCATTTTCTGAGCGACGTAGGTCGCAATTGCCGCGTCGGTGGTCAGAACGCCGTGCATGGACTCGTCTCCGGATGAGTCCATGTCCACGTCTGATGCCCCCGGCAGACAGGCCTCCAAGGACTCTGTGGAAATACATGACTCCACAGAGTTAATGGACTCTTCTGAGTCCACGCAGTGCAACACCACCCGTGGGTTTGCACGACCCCTCGGGCGGCACGGACGCTTCTCGTCCGTCCTCGCAGACGCATGATAGGTAGAGGGCCCTGCGGTGCACCCTTCTACCCGCCCGTCGTTGGATAAAGACACGGGGGAACCCGGGACACTAGCTCCGCCGCGCCGGGACCTGGCCGTCCGGTCAACCTGGTCCAGTAAGTCCTTATCTGTCTTCTGGCTCATCCCATAAAAAAAGAAGTAGCGGTTTTATATCGGTCTTGAACCTGACCTAGGCCGGTTGCCTTAACCTGGCTAACGAGCCCGACCTGTCCGGGTTTGGGATCGGGGTTTTCCTTCCCCTAGGTACGCTCTTAGTCTGGCCGCTCCCCGTGAACCTGTCCGGCAAGGGTGACCCTGCCAGGAACCGAAGTTCCCGCCGGCATAGCTCCGCGGATCGACACGGCACTCAAGCTCGGGGACCACGACAAGGTGGCGTACCATCCCCCGAGGCGCGTCGCACTTAATGTAAGATATTTTAACCAACTATGTACACATTTTAAGATTTTAATCATTTTTATCAAAATGTAAAATTTTTTATTTTTTTTTTGATAGCCACCGTGGCAGGTATTTGAATATAGCCCTAAGTGGCGCAGTTTATTTTAATTTTGTGTTAACTTTAGCACTTTGTGTATTGCGACCTGAGAAGGTAAAATGTTATGTAAGCCCGGATACGGGGTGTGATAGTTACACATACACACATACACAAGCATACACACATACACACACACACACACACGAACAAACACGCAACATCTGAAAAAAGAGATGGACAAGTTATCATATCTGGATGAACATTATTATTGAACACACCCGTTGAGGGAGAGATAGCGTTCGCGTACAGCTGGGCGAGGCCTAAGGAGAACGTGATCAAGGGGAGTAAAAAAAGTGATCTACAAGCCTTCGAGACGAAATAGCGCGTTCGGCGTTCTCGATCACGAAATAAAAAAGGCTTGTGCACTTGAGACGTGCAATACCGAAAACACGCGTATTTTAAATAGCACTTGTGTAATTGTATTGTTTAAAAATATATATTAACCGTATTTACTAAACAAGTAAATGCGAGTGTTACTTACCTGACCTGGACGATCCTATCCTAAAAATAAAGGAACAGGGGACCATATCTGAAGGGCAGAGAGGACGATGGTGCTCATCCGTCTGCAAACAAGGCACCTGGCGACCGTGATACTTAAAAAAGTGAGTACTCTTAATAAAAATCATTAAATCTCCGGCTATAACCTAACCCTGTGACCTGGACCCTAGGGAACACCAGCAGTGCGTTTAGGCAGCGCGCTTACACGCTATGAAACGCTAACGCTAATTCAGTCGTTCAAGGAGCTATTATGGCGCTCACAAATGCAAGCTCCCTAAACGACTTTTGGTGTATTGTGAGCAACATGGCGGACATAAATAATAACTGTAATTTGGTATTGCGACGGATTTTAATTTTGCGTGGAATCGCAACAATTTTGATGGATTTTCTTGATAATACTACATCATCAGAAGAAGATGAAGATAAAGTAGAGTGTGTTATGCACGTAATGGAAAAACCAAAGAAGTTACCAAGATTGGAAAACTACGTGGAGAACATTGTGCCTACCTATAGTGATAAACAATTTAAGTTACATTTTAGGTAAATTGAAAATTGTACATTGCATTTTTTATTAAATTCCGGTAGGATGAGTTATTATTTGCACCTAACTTTAACTATTTTTGCATGTGTATTTATTTGTCTTGTGATTCTATTTTATGGCACAGAATATCTAGAGATACATTTGAGTTTATACTTGCTATTATCGCTCCGAGATTGAAGAGAATACATATAGGACTGCCAATGATTTCTCCTGAAAAGCAATTTCTTATTGCAATATGGCGCATGGCAACTCCTGATTCCTATAGGTGAGTAATGTTTGTGAAATTGATAATTTTGGTTATCACAATTGTAGTAGTTCTTGCTTATTATTTTTCTTTCAATTACCAATTATTTTTGTTTTAGATCTATAAGTGAGAAGTTTGATGTCAGTCGAACTACTGCTCTCAATGCCACACGAAGAGTGGTAAGAGCTGTTTATGATTTGGCACCAACTGTCATCAAATGGCCATCAGGCAACAATGTCAATGAAGTTTGGACTGGATTTGAAGTTACCAGTGGTTTTCCAAAAGTTATTGGTGCTATAGACGGTACTCATCAACATTCAAGCTCCTCGTATTCAACCAGCATCATATGTAAATCGTAAAGGACATTATTCCATTCAACTACAAGTACGTCATGTTTGTCCAAACATGAAAATATGACATCTCATTGCGTACTTAAGCTAAAATTCTATATCCGTATTAATATAATTTAGATTAATATAAGTTCTTTCATGGTTTTATCAGGCAGTGTGTAACCATAAAACACATTTTATTCATTGCTTCGCGGGATATCCAGGGTCTGTGCATGACCAGCAAGTATTTCGATTATCAGAATTACAGGAGTGGTTAGGGAATCCTGAGAAATTTCCCGATAATTGTCATATCCTCGGAGATGGCGCATATAAATTACACGAAAATCTCATTGTTCCTTATCGTGACAATGGACATTTCACTCCTAGACAAAAAAACTTCAATTTCTGTCATTCGTCTGCTAGAATAACAATTGAAAGGGCTTTTGGAATATTGAAGACAAGATTTCGTAGTATAAGGACTGTTCTTGCAATGGATAGATGTGATTTAATTCCAATGTTTATAATTGCATGTTGTACGATGCATAATATTTGCCTATTAAGAGGAGATGAGATAGATTTTGATGCTATTAATGAGGCAAAAACTAACAATTATCTTTATCAAGATCCTGTACTATATGAAGAGGTAGGTGTTGCCAAAAGGAATCATATTTCTGAAAGGCTTTCTTTGCGATTTGTTTAGTGCATAAATGGTTGCTACAAAATAGTTATCAAATGCGGAGAGTTTTCCTAAATGATATTTGCAAATTGAGATTGTTTCGTGCGTGTAGCTTTGTAATAATGTTTATATTTAGATAACATAGATACAATTTTTATTTAGATAACATAGATACAGATGTAACATATAAAATATTGAGATTTTGTACGTTATCACAGAAATAAAAATATTATTTTACTTTTATAATATTAAGTTTGTACGTTATTACAGAAATAAAAATATTTTATTACATGTTAAATATTTTATTTCTCTTTGCAAAAATAAAACTATTATCTTATTTTACTTTTAAAATACTGAGATTTTGTACAATATTACATGTATAACAATATTCTACGTTAGATATCTTACTTTTCATTACAAAAATAAAAATATGTATTATTTTATTTTTCTTTTAAAAATACTGAGATTTGATACATCACAGAAATAAAAATATTCTACGTAAGATAGTTTACTTTTCATTATAAAAATAAAATTATTATGTTCTCTTATTTTTAAAACACTAAGATTTGATATATTATCACAGAAATAAAAGTATCATCACAGATGTATCATCTCCATACTATGCTTCCATTTGATCTACTAACAAACAAAAACAATATCAAAATNAATAAAGTTAAAATAAAGAAATTGAGGATTAATAACTTTAACAAAACAATTACTTACTTGCAATTTATCAATAAGCTTATTTAATGCA